TGGTCCAGAATGACTTCGTAATTTTATTTATAATTGTCCTTCAAGTTTATCCTCAGTATTAACCTAAGCATGATCTTCATTTAATCGGTTTAAAATGACATTTTGTATCATGACTTATCCGAATTATCGACACTGACAGCTGATTTTTAAAACTGTTTATCTGAATATCGTTGCCATCTTATACAACCGATAATAGTCTATTTCGAAGCAAAAATGAACAAAAGTTGAGACGAAGCGTACAAACGGCAGCCATTTTATTTCTGGTTAACATTTGGTTAAAATTTAACCCACCTCCTATAGGTGGGTTAATTTAACCAGAAATTTACGCTGGTTAAATTTAACCAAAATTTTATACAATTGGTTAACCAAAGTTTAACCAAAAAGTTAACCAAACCATGGATTTAACCCAGTGGTTAAAGTTAACCAACGTTTATACAATTGGGTGCTGTATATCATCAACAAAATTACACCCTTGTAATTTTTGCAACAGCGATTTATGATGTTGATGTTGTAGATGTTGGCGGTATACAGATCTCATCACCCCTATAGCTGCTTCATAGTGCTTAGAAATGAAGCTAGAAGTCTGTTTTCTCATTCTTCTCCACAAGGCGTGGCCTCCACAGCGGCTCTGTGCTGATTAGAGGATAAATGTCTTACATGCGTACAATGGCGAAAATTTGTGCAACCAATTGTAAAGGGTTTGTCTTTGCCCTCACTGATGCAAATGTTGCGTGTCATTTTGTTACTTTCATACAAAAGCCATGGATATTTTTTTAGCCATTCCTGATGAAATTCACGATCATTCTTTTTTTGTACTGTATTGTTTTTCTTTAGAGGGATTTAAAGGTCATCGGCAACATTATTTTTATCTGATACTTTTTTTGGGTCATGGACAACCAAATTTTGCGTATTTTTCGTGAAGAAATTAAATTGGTCAATCTCCTCTGCTTTGGAGCAGATGACATTTTCCAGCAAACAGTTAATTCGTTCAACAAATGACGACAACAAAGTAAATAATTTTGTCTGGGCGCTTTCATTATATGCAGTATTGCATAAATGCAAGCGTCTATCAACTAGTTGAAATGGGCCAAATGCCGGACCACAGACTTGGTAAATTTCATTTCTCATGAAAATCATAGTCAAGCCCAAATATTCTGTACAATTTTATATGGAATTGACAGTTTATAGTCTATATATATGACTCGCATTGAAATCAGCGATGGTGTAATTCTAGCACCACAGTACAAGCTATAACTAAATTTCATTGTAACATGGCCGAAAATAGTGCGCAAAAAACGCGCTCTGGCAGAAACACTGCTTGTTATATAACAACATTCAATTTTACATGTGATTTATCTTAATTTTAATTATATTTGAACATTTACTATTATTATAATCAGCATGTTTTATCATTATACCCAAACAAATTAATTTCAATGGCATAGAGTAATTGTTACAAATCTGCATTTATGTTATTAAATGTCATTAAGGTATGTTCCCTTAAACTTCATTAGATTTTAAGCCATATTTAAAAAATTTTTTTTTATATACATGTACACTTCAGCCTCATTAAAACGCTCATATTGGGGTCCAATGTCTCAACACCGCGTTCTAACGAGGCTCTCATTAGAACGCTCATTGCGAAATTACCGCATTACCCCACCCACCACATGTATAAATATAACGCTGATTTTTTTGGTGTACGGACATAATCCCCTTCGGACAAAATCCCCTTCATGTATTTTGTATATCCGGACATAATCCCCTTCATGGGTGGACATAATCCCCTTCATGTGTGAAATTTTGAAGTGGACAAAATCCCCTTCATAAAATTGCTACCTAGGACAAAATCCCCCTCGGAGGAATTTTCGGTTTATAAAGTGGGTATGAGAGCGACATACTGCATTATGCTGTGTAGTAAATATCTTAATGTATAAATAAGTAGAAAATATTTCAGCAGAAAAGCACATTCAATTAGCAACATTTAAATCACATTAAAATTGCTTTGTTGAAGCATTCATAACAATCAGTCACAGTCTTTCCGAAAGACCGTCGGACCTGACCGGTAAAAAATCAGAAGGTCCGATAAAAATATATGTATTGACGGCCCAACGGTCTGGTAAAAAATTAAGGTTTTATAAAAACCTTACATTCAACATTTTGCAAAGGCCGATCATTTACCTAAATTCAAAATGTTGTCATTAGATAATGTAAGCTCTGAGGCAATGCTTGTCAACTGTTATGAATTCTCATAATGCAAACTTTTATGTAACAACGTAAGATAAAAATATCCGACAACTAGTACAATTAAAAGTCAATAAGCGGCTGCGTAAATTACATAAGCGGCCCAGATGTGAAAGGTCACCCGCTATTAGCTTGTTTACACAGTTGAAAGTGTCAGTGTATTAATTGAAACAATTTACGTCTTTAATCCACAGACTTAGAGTAATGCTAAATTACACATGTGCTCACCTGTTTTTAGCAGCCAATTACGGATATGAAAGATCGTCCAAGATGTTGACAAAAATTAAACTATACTGTGAAGGTGCCAAAATCATTGAACAATTATTAAATCTGTCAACTTAACTAAATTACCAATATATATAATTATGTTTACATACATATGCCAGACTGTTGCTGAAATTTACCCTCTCATTTTGCTAGTATATATAGTCTGTATGGAATTAAAGTTTAAATAGCAAAATCCATTGAATACATGTATAACAATATTTATGTTTATAATTTGATTGCGATGAAAAAAGATAACTTCACTTCGTTGATAATATAATTTTCTTTTTGTACACAAATTTTTTGACTGCTGACACAAATATCAAGTGACTCAAAATGCTATACCAATCAGGTTTTTTTTTTGGTCCAGTAAAATCATGTTTGGTCCAGTAAAAATTTTCAGTTTACAGGACCTACTGTCCAGTAAAACTCTGAAGTCTTTCGCATAGACTGCAGTCAAGTAGTGCAGTGATCTTGGTTTGATTAAATTATCACTCTTTCATCAATAGAAATTGTAACAATGGATAGTATGTATCAGAATTATCAACTTATACAATCAATGAAATAATTATTGGCTAATAAAAATGTTTTTCATTCAATTTAAAACAATTAAAGAAATTGCCTAATCAAATATGTGTTATGCAGTTGATAATTGACCATAATTTTAATGAAAACTTCTAAAATAAATAAAGGTTAATTATTGATACAGTGTAACTTCCGAATTCCGGAACTTCTGCAATCCGGAAACTTCTAAAAACAGAACAATTTTTTTGGTCCCGATTTTTCCCCTTCTATTTTCTATTAATAAAATACTTCTGAATTCCGGAACTTCTAAATTCTGAATTCCGGACGATATATTCGTAAAATTAGAGTCAAATCAATACAATTTTACCTCCAAAATCCGGAAATATCCAAAAGGTGTGAAATACATTGTAAATCGAGAATGTTTACCCTGCAGGAAGATTTAATCTCCCTATCGATTGTTTACCAATTAGCGGTGATCGTGTAATTTGACACACGTTAAAATCACAAACTGTGAAATGGCATATTTGAAGTGATGCGGTTAATTAGAGTAATTTACGGCGGTCAGTTAATTTGAAGTGTTTATTAGCGGATTTAATGATAATTAGTTTGGACAATGTATGCATCAAATGTCTTTAGGGATTTTATTGCATTTGATGCACTAATTAATTAACTAGCATCGGAAAATATGTAAGTTTATGCAATTAACAACATTTCTACAAACTGATAGAAATTCAAAGGGATTTGCAGTATTAAATAAAGTGTTATATATAAATGTTTTCTTTTCCTTCACATCTTTATTTTGATTAAAAGACTATTTTATATGATATTACAGTAATGGCCACATTTTCCTTGACATTTAGTGGCTTAGTCTTGTCCACATTATCCGAAACCTCTGAACTCCGGAAACCTCTGAAATCCGAACTTTTTGACAAGTCCCATGGGTGTTCGGTTTTCAGAAGTTACACTGTACATAATTATAAATAAAAAAACCAAAGTTCATTATTCATCAATTTTTAGGGATTATAATAATACATTATTCATCAATTTTTATGGAGCATAATAATACATTAGAAACCTATGAAACAAGGGGATTTTGTCCAGTCTTGCAAAAAAATGAAGGGGATTATGTCCATCCATGAAGGGGATTTTGTCCAGGTAGGTGAAGGGGATTTTGTCCGAAGGGGATTATGTCTGACATTCGATTTTTTTACTTACTGTTCAATGAATATCGACATTTTTTTTGTCTAAAACCATTCAATGATGTAAACATATATTATATTCACAAATAATACTAATTATATTTAAAAGAAACGAAAAACTTTGGAAAGAAAATTATAAATCATAAATGTAGTGTAAACAGCCATTACTGTAATGACGTTTGATTAACTAGGGGACACAACTAAAGCTGGACTGTAAATAACACTGTAATTTACAGTCCAACTTTAGTTGTGTCCCCTAGTAAATCAAATGCCAATTACTTCCTATCATGGCCGCTCTATTTACATTGCAGGATTTTAAATTGATTTTGGGCTTGTGGGTTATTTAATTTAGCGAGGTTTACATGTCAAAGATATGTGTGTGAATTTTAGTTTATTTATACTCACCACCGGTTGCCAATGTCACAGTTATGATATGAATTTGAGATTTTGGAAACAATTTGAAGACAGGTAAAACAACAAAAGAGCGGATAAAAGCTTACCTAGACATGTTTTTCACACCTTTGGCGCTCATAAATGTCCTAATAACAATTGTTTATTGTACTTGACTGTCAAATTGAGCAAGCGTTATAGCGCGCTATAAATCAAATCTAAGTCTACTTAAAAAAAAAAAAATTTTTTTGGGGAAGTTTTTTTTTTTTTTTTTTTTGGTGGGAGCCAAGGTCTATGAGCGCTATACTGGGATTAGCGTTATAATGAAGAGCGAGTTATCGAGGCTACAGTGTATACTAGAATTTTAACATATCTTACCTATTTCAAAAGGAACCCACTTTGTTATCTCAAATTCGTTTCTACCAGGAGAGCTTGATCCTTCTGAATCTTTAAAAAAAAATAAACAAATAAATATTATACAGTTTTATTAAATATTCCAAAACTGATTTGGTAAACAGTTGCAGGAGAGAGTGAAGCTCGACTAATCAAATACTGGAGGCAGTAAGGTATATAAAACTATGAAAAACAAGAGCCCGGTTTGAGCCGGGTGATGCTCCCCGAATAGGTTTTGGACGCAGAAAGAACACCTCTTGTAGTTTCAGAGTTATGTCCCTGGAAAAAGTTCAAAGTGCAATAATTCCAAAATAAGGCAAGGCAGAGTTACTGTTCTTTGCACTGCACTTCTAATCAATGTGATCTATCAACCTACAAAGTTTCTTGATGATACCTCTTATGATTTCCGAGTAATGTCCCGCACAATTTCAAAAAGTAAAAATAAACAAAGGGCAATAACTCCAGAATTAGGCAAGGCAGAGTTATGATTCTTGTGCACTGCACATCTACCCATTGAGATATATCTACCTACAAAGTTTCATGTTGATATCTCTTATAGTTTTATACAGCTATGTCCTGGACAAGATTTTTCTAAAAGGGGAGATAATTCAAAAATGAGGCTTAACAGAGTTATGGTTCTTTTGCACTGCACCTCTACTCAATGAGATCTATCTACCTACAATGTTTCATCTTGATACCTCTTATAGTTTTAGAGTTATGTTCCGGACAAAGTTCAAAGTGTTAAAATAAACAAAGGGCAATAACTCCAAAATTAGGACAAAAAGAGTTATTGTTCTTATGCACTGAACATCTTCCCATTGAGATCTATTCACCTACAAAGTTTCATGTTGATATCTCTTATAGTTTTAAAGTTATGCCCAGGACAAGATTTTTCTATAAGGGGAGATAATTAAACAAGAGGGCCATGATGGCCCTGAGGTCGCTCACCTGTATAAAGGCCCCCCCCACCCTCCCAACGTTGCAGGGCCAATTTAACCCAAGGGCTTTTATTTGCACAAACTTGGTAGACACCCATAAGAAGATGTTTCATGCTAAACATCTAAGCGCTAGCTCATTGGGCTTTTTAAAAGAAGATTTTTTTAAAGTTTTTACTATACACATATAGTTAAAAACAATGACACCCCTGGGGCCGGGCCAGTTTTGACCCCAGGGCTTTTATCTGAACAAACTTTGTAGACATTTACTAGAAGATGTTTCATGCTGAATATCTTAACTCTAGCTATTTGGGTTTTTTCAAAGAAGATTTTAAGTTTTTGCTATACACATATAAAGAAAATCAATGACCCCCGGGGCGGGGCCAATTTTGACCCCAGGGCTTTTATTTGAACAAACTTGGTAGACACCTATTAGAACATGTTTGATGCTAAATATCTTAGCTCTAACTCTTTTGGTTCTTTAAAAGAAGATTTTTTAAGTTTTTACTATATGCATATAGGAAAAATCAATGACCCCCTGGGGCGGGGCCAATTTTGACCCCAGGGCTTTTATTTGAACAAACTTGGTAGACACCTATTAGAACATGTTTGATGCTCAATATCTTAGCCATAGCTCTTTGAGTTCTTTAAAAGAAGATTTTTTAAGTTTTTACTATATGCATATAGGGAAAATCAATGACCCCCCGGGGGCGGGGCCAATTCTGACCCCAGGGCTTTTATTTGAACAAACTTGGTAGACACCCATTAGAACATGTTTCATGCTAAATATCTTAGCTCTAGCTCTTGGGGTTCTTTAAAAGAAGATTTTTTAAGTTTTTACTATATGCATATAGGGAAAATCAATGACCCCCCGGGGCGGGGCCAATTTTGACCCCAGGGCTTTTATTTGAACAAACTTGGTAGACACTCACTAGAAGATGTTTCATGCCAAATATCTAAGCTCTAGCTCTTATGGTTTTTTCAAAGAAGATATTTAAAGTTTTTTCTTTCGGTTGCCATGGCAACCAGAGTTCTGCATGGAATTTAATTCTTTGAACAATTTTTAAAGGTGACCACCAAAGGAACATTCCTGTGAAGTTTGGATGAAATTGGCTTAGTGGTTTATGAGGAGATGTCATTTAAAGTAAAAGTTTACGGACGGACGGACGACGGACGGACGACGGACGGACGCCGGACGAAAAGTGATCACAAAAGCTCACCCTGTCACTTTGTGACAGGTGAGCTAAAAACCGGGCAAAATAGAGTTATGGTTCTTTGACACTGCACTCCCCCTCAATGCCCTCTACCACTGTATGAAGTTTCAACAAATTATCTCCAAGGGTTTTCAAGTTATGCTCCGGACAAGACAACGGACGGACAGACGGAAGGACGGACAGACAGACAAGGTGCCGACTATATGCTCCCCCGAAATTTTTCGGGGAGCATAAAAATCAATTATGATATAAATATATTTCTTATGACAAGAAATTATAGTTTTAAACATCAATTCCAAATTCAAGGGGGAAAAATTCTGGAAATAGTCACCCTAGAATTAAGAACCTTGTCACACAACATGTATGCAATGATAAGAAATATATCTTTGAAGTTTGAAGTAGATACCTTGAAAAGTAAAGAAGTAATAATATTTCTTAAAGAAAATTCTACGTTCAAAGGAAGATAAATATTGCTTCAAGAGTTAAGAAACTTGTCACATAAGATCTGGTTGATGATAAGGAATATGTATTTTAAGTTTGAGGTAGATACCTTTAAAACTAAATAAGTTATCGTAAAAAATTAATTTTTTCAAGTTAAAAAAAATCTAAGTTAATGGGAAGATAATTCTTGCACTATTGGTGCTAGAGTTATGAACCTTGTCACATATGATGTGGTTAATAATAAGGAACATATATATGAATGATGAAGTTGATCCCTTAAGAAACAAGAGCCATGTCAACATGGCCATCCCCCGCCGAATGTGTTTGCTCATTGGAAGAATGTATATGTAGTACAGCAGAATAATTCCATTTTAAGGATGTAGGAGCGTTTATATTAATTTTGTAAAATGTTTTGATTGTCTTAGTATTTCTCATGCTGAGAGACTATTTCATATCATTGAAAAATATGCAAAGAAAAAGATGGGTCACCGTGATTTTTTTTTAGATATGCCATGTTTTGTCAAACTACCGTAATGGCAAGGCTTGAAAAATTGTTCAGTCCTTCATATTAGGGTATATTTATATATTTTTGACTGATTCAACTAAAATACAACAACTGGAACTGGTACAGATTTATTTCACAGCTTTATACAATAGTTTACACTATTAAACAGATTAGAGATCATAAAACTAGTAGAATGTTTGAAAAATTCATCAACAAAATTAAATAATCTGTATCTGCTATAACTATTAAAAACACTGTTTTCCGTATATGGGTAGTATTTAAAAAATCTCATTTTTTTCTTAAAAAACTATTTTTATATGCGTGTTATTAAAGTATGATGTGGACAATGACTTTACCAAAAGTTTTAAATAATCAAATTGATATGTCACCGTGGAAATTTTTTCATTATGCAGACTAAAAGAGTAGCACTTTTATTTACAAAATTTACTTATTTAAAGGTGAGACAATTTAACTTTACCATCCAAATAAGAGTTTTACTTAACATTTGGATTATATCAGTTAAAATTGTTGTTACATTTAAATATTACAACCATAACAACAGTCAAATATATGTTTCAATTTTAATTTTTGCTTCTTACAGACATAATTAAAGTATACCCCACCCACTTTTTAGCATAAAAATCACTTTTCACAAAAAAATAATCAAGACTGCTTATAGGCAGCATATTTCACTTTTAATTATGGCATGGAGAAATGATGTATATTGTAAGGCTATTTGTCCGTCTGTCAGTCTTTTTGTCTCCCTTATTGTCACACCTACCGTAAATATCTCAATAGCTAAAAAGGCCTAAAAATTCGCAACTTAGCAAAATAGTAGCTTTGATGTAGGGAGAAAGATTTTTATGCATTTAAACTATCTGTTCTTCAACTTAGCAGAAAGATGGCTAAATGTATGGCAGAAAAAAACTTATTGTACTTATATGTATGTCTATTTGCACATCAGTCTGTTTTTTGTCTTTAAGTCATACCTAAATATATTGATGGTACTGAGGCCTAAAAATACAAAACGTAGCAGAAAAATAACCCTCGAGCTAGATATTCCAGTCTGTACCTACAGTCTGTGTAAGATCCTTATAATATGCGCCCTTAACAAAGTGGAAAAAACTTTAAATAGAATATAATGATCACAGTGTTTCGACAGAATTCACTAAATGTCACATTAGACACTGACAACAAAAAATGCCCAATATCCTTCAGGAAATAAATAGTATAATCCTTGTAAGTAGATTTTGTAAATGTTCAAGAATTTCATTTACTATAAATGAGATTGATATAGTCAGCAATATCTGTAATTATTCTTTCAGATTTTGTTACTCGAACTTTACCATAAGACACCTCTGACAATAGCCTTCTCAAACCATCAGTTCCGTTACGTTTATATACAATACATAAATGGCAAAACTTGAGACCACTTCCAGCAATCAACCTTGCAATACCCTTGCTGATTACTTTCTTATCAATTATTGATTGTAAAGACGCGATGTTTCTGGAGATATTGCAGGCATATTCATATGATTGAACTGCTTTTTCTAAACTAAATGACAGTTCTGTTTTAACATTTTCATCTGAATGCACAGAATTTACCAAAGTCGGCAACGCAATAACATCTTCTTGTGCATTGTGAGCAGTATATGAATTCCCAAGTAAATTCTGCACTGATGCCCTCTGCTTGTAAGAGATCAGGATATGTTTTTTTGAAAATTTTTAACCTGTCCATAAAACCTTGTACACACTTCTGAAGGTAATGGTATTTATTGCAGTTGTACACAGCATGCAGGAGAACTTTGCAGTTAAAGGATTTGATGTTATGTCCTACTAATATTACTGGTAAACTGGAAGACTTCTGCAAGAAATCAAAGAACCTGTCTAGAGCTTCATTTATACACATGTAATCAATTGGTTTGCCTTTGTAGAACATGGACTGGCCAGCTATGGACAAACCTGTCACTTCTTTTGCCTTTTGTGACATTTTCCTTTGTGGCATTACATATGTAGAAAATGTACTGGAATCATGTACAGCTGCTATCTGAGTAATATGTGATGTTCGTTCTGAAATAGACAAAAAAAGTGATAAAAGATAAGAAATACAAATTAACAAGGGCAACATTGTCACAATATACCCCTGTCACAAAAGCTTTTCAATATAAATGAAAGACAACACAATCATGTTTAAGATTGGCTGTGTGCCAGGCTCTAAGCTCATAGATAATTTCAAACTATAAAGAATTATGTTATATTTATTAAGCTGCATACTGTCACAAACTATCAAACAATGTGTAAATTTGTTTACCTATTCTGAATAAAATAATACAAGAGCCCGGTTTGAGCCGGGTGATGCTCCCCGAATAGGTTTTGGACACAGGAAAGTACACCTCTTGTAGTTTCAGAGTTATGTCCCTGGAAAAAGTTCAAAGTGCAATAATTCCAAAATAAGGCAAGGCAGAGTTACTGTTCTTAGCACTGCACTTCTAATCAATGTGATCTATCAACCTACAAAGTTTCTTGATGACATCTCTTATGATTTCTGAGTTATGTCCCCGGAAACTTTAAAAAGTAATAATAAACAAAGGGCAATAACTCCAGAATTAGTCAAGGCAGAATTATGATTCTTGTGCACTGCACATCTACCCATTGAGATATATTTACCTACAATGTTTCATGTTGATATCTCTTATAGTTTTACAGCTATGTCCTGGACATGATATTTGTAAAAGAGGAGAAAATTAAAAAATGAGGCTTAACAGAGTTATGGTTCTTTTGCACTGCACCTCTACTCAATGAGATCTACATGTATCTACCTACAATGTTTCATCTTGATATCTTTTTTTTTTTTTTTTAATTGCGTTTATTTAAGATCGCCGCCGGAAAGCCCATATGGGCGACCGTACACTCAAGTCGGGTCATCCTAAAGCGTCCCGCCGAGATTTTTCGTCGATTTTTTTCCAGCTTTATTGGTGGAGGAAGACCCCAGGTGCCCCTCCGGGCATTATTTCAGGCACGAGCAGGCACCTGGGTAGAACCACCGACCTTCCGTAAGCCAGCTGGATGGCTTCCTCACATGAAAGATTTCGACCCGAGTGAGGATCGAACCTACAGTGGTGAGGGACCTGTGATCTCAAGTCAGCGACTTTTTTGATATCTCTTATAGTTTTAGAGTTATGAGTTATGTTCCGGACAAAGTTCAAAGTGTTAAAATTAACAAAGGGCAATAACTCCAAAATTAGGACAAAAAGAGTAATTGTTCTTATGCACTGCACATCTACTCATTGAGATCTATTCACCTACAAAGTTTCATGTTGATAACTCTTATAGTTTTAGAGTTATGCCCTGCCCCCCCCCCCCCCCCCCCCCCCCCGACAAGATTTTTCTATAAGGGGAGATAATTCAAAAATATGGCAAAATAGAGTTATGGTTCTTTGACACTGCACTCCCCTACCACTGTATGAAGTTTCAACAAATTATCTCCAAGGGTTTTCAAGTAATGCTCCGGACAAGACAACGGATGGTCAGACAGACGGACGGACAGACAGACAAGGCGCCGACTATATGCTCCCCCGAAATTTTTCGGGGAGCATAATAATGCTTGCGACAGGCTTGCATAATGTAATTTTATTCAACAATAAATTCAGTATTGAACTTATACTCATTCAATTATGCTTTATATAACAAGAAATTGTTAGGCCTACACTCTTGTCAACAGTCAAAACAGTCAACCTTAAAAGACAAATCAACAAAGTGCTACAATTCAAAACTTCTGGTACTCAGACTGTTGACTTTTTTCATATCACAAGTAATTTTGTTATATTGTATTTTGGAATGCCTACCTGAAAAACTACCATATGCCTTCCCACTCCCTCTTTTCTGCCACCCAGCATCCACACTGACTTCAATTTCATTTTTCTGTCTACATCGAAAAAAACGTAAAATCATAGCAATACTTGAAATTGATAGCTTATGTAAAACATGTTTCATAACATATAAAATCAGTGAATTCTGAAATGTAAGAAGAACAAAAGGTTTAACTTAAAATCATAGTTATGTGAGCTGCAACCTATTACTTTATTGTTTAGAAACTATACAAGAGCCATAACCATACATGGACAATGCTTATTATAATAAAAAAATGTTTTAGAGAAATCAAATTCATAAATAAATGACATAGCTGAAATTCAGTAATTTAACCTTTAATGTCAAGGTCATTTATATGTCAGTAAATTACAGTTAAATTAACATCAAGGTTTTTTCCTGAATTATGCTGTTTCTGAATATGAAGTCAATACATTCACAAATAACAAAATTATAGCCAGTTACAGCGAGAACAAGATAATTTTAAATAATTTGACCAGTCAAGGGTAATGAATGTCTGGTTTCAGTCAACTTATAGGCATTGGAGAAATTAACAGGAAGTTAACTGTGTAACAATTAATCTCTTACTCTCAAATTCAAGTTAACTTCCTGGTGCAAATACTTCTCAGTCCTGGCTTTGGCAACATCCTCTTATGCCTGTCCAGCTTCATTCTGTCTGAAAATAAAAATGTTTTTATGTTAAAACAACTATGTTGAAAAGAATAATTTGTTTATTTTCATAATTTTAATAAAGGACATAATAACATTAACTACCAATGTTATAAGTAATATATGTGCAGCTAAAATGATTCATTTCAACACTACTACTATTAAACCTGTGTAGCAGGATGGAAACAAAGGATGCTCCCCAAATTAAACACACAGGAGATTAGTAAACTGTACAAAATTATTACTCTTCATTGTGATTAATATTTGCATGTATACTTGTTTACTTATACATGTTGTATACATGTACTATAATATGGTGGTTAAGTTTCTGTAAGTGGTTGCCTGTAATAGTCTGGGCAAAATTTACAGTTAGAAATGTATAAAACTGGACTGGACAAAAATTACAGCTAAAAAATGTATAAACTTGCATATCTTTTAAAAAAATTCAGTGGATCAGATCATGATACAGTCATATTAATATGAACAGTTCCTCTTGGTAGAGTTATGTTTCCTATAAATATCCAATGAGTTCCACTGGAACTGTTCCAGTCATTGGTTGCTTCCTGAGAAGTAGCCATAAAAAACAATCTTAAATCTAAAAAGGCTTGAATGGGCATATATTTGTGTAAAAGTACTGCACTAAAAAAAGATTCTACTATGCCCAGCTCTCTTTGGTCCTAAGGAAATCTTCCTATGACTTTTTTATAATATCAAACAAGCAGATACTCTGAAAAAAATTCAGATGTTATTGGTAGCATAAAAGCAATGTAAGTATTTAACATCCACATAAGTCAACAAAAACTAAGTTACATTTCATACAGTACATGTACCTACCTCCTAACAAGCAAGGAATGGTTGACAGGTGGAATGTTTAATGCAGATAAAATACTGTTTATCTGTCTAACACCAACTCCAGAATGTGCCATAGCTGAAAAAATGAAAAATAAAAATTGTATAATTATGTACTAAATTAAACAACTGAAATAACACTAAGCAATTAATAAATTGGGTATTTTAAACTAAATGGTACTTTGAATAATAATGACAGCTTTGCTTTTTTTTATTCTATAACAAGGCCTGTGCGACAAGGTTTGCATAAGGTTAATACATATTTATTATTATCTTGATTAATTAAATGAATAGTCAATACTAATAATAGCCCATTTTCAAACATGGCAAATGTGCACTAACCATTGATTAATGCCACAGTCTTATGATAAATTTGGAGTGTATGGGCTACATCATCATGATTCCTGAATATTGTCTTAAAGACGCCATGTGATATAAACATGTGTATGCAAAAATCATTCTGGTGGGGGGAAAAAAACCACAACAACTATGCTGTTGACTAGACTGTACATGTAGCACTGGCTTCATTTAGGCAGGGCTATTTTCACAGGTTAGGGAAGCTGGCCTTCCATTTATTTTGGGGTAAATAAAAAAGTATATAATGGTATTTTTAAAAGGAGAACAAAAAACTTTTTATTTATTACAAAGAAATAACATTGTTTATTTTATTTTTATTTAAATAAGGCCAAAAAAATAGAGTTCGTTATTACACTCCCAGGCATTAGGTGAATTCCCCAGAGCTAGAGTCACAGTACCTGTGCTCGACCAGCCTGATGCTTGACCAATACTTCTATTTGTGTACGCTTTATGCATTTAAGTGGAAAAACCCTGGGAGTTTGTGTGTGCTTTTTGTACCTGACCTGTAACCTTTACACCATGTACAAGTACCCCAAGTTTGGTAGAAGATTGGCCATTTTGCAGACAATATTAAATAGTACAAAAATACATTTCTAGCACTAGCAGTAACACTGAAATAATGATAATTTAGGACAAATGTGGACAATACATTGTTAAATTGCCTTTACTCTTATGATTCCAATTGATTTCCATAGGAAAGGTGCCCAAAATTCATCAAAACCCTGCTTTCCATAAAAGACAGGGGCTATGAACTGATGAACATGTAAACAAATATGGCAGCTGTACGGAAACAAATCGGGAAGACGCCACAAGAAGCGTAGACCATTTGAGCCGAAACCAACATAATGCGTTTGTGACCAGCATGGATCAAGACCAGCCTGCGCATCCACACAGACTGATCAGGATCCATGCGTTTGGCTTACCAACTCTATTACAAGTAGAGAAACTGATAGCGAACAACATGGATCCTGATCAGACTGCACAGATGCACAGGCTGGTCTGGATCCATGCTGGTCGCAAGCCCGTTATGTTTGTTTTGTCGTGTCACGGCTCATTTGTATATTACACACTTAACTATGTTTGCAGAGTGACTTTAGTAAGAAAAATATGAAAATAAGTAATCTCAAACAACCCAGTATATGTTAATTCCAAAACTCTTATAAACACTTTATTTGTCAATGTAAAGCATTTCCTTCATATCATATTTGCTCTCATATTTACATCTACATGTATAGACGGAAACAAGACAACTCACCCCCAGACGATTCACCCCCAAAAAACCAAGACAACTCAACCCTCAAGACAGTTAACCCCCAAAAATAGATAAGACAATGCGCCCCTCATGTTTATTGTTACAAAAATCAAAAAGTCATTTCTTTTGGAGGAAATAAAGATATTTATTTTTATTTAATAGACTTGATATTTTTATTGTTTATATAATGCAAACATGTACAACTGTCTGAAGGAATAATTTAATTATCCATTATCTTAAAGTGCTGAAAAACATATTGTTTATTCTACATCCACTCTTTCAACACCTTGCTTTATAATCAATTAAGGATGAAAAAAAAAAGTGTTAAGGGATAAAGGGCTATTAAAAGTATACAAACATCCACTCAAAATGTCATATTTCACAAGAAAGCATGTCTTGAATGGCTTCTCAAAAAAATTTAATTGGTCGCGCGTGCACAAAATTTATTTGTAGATAATGTGTCATACTCATCCAATGAGTTGTTAGAATGAAAGAGATTAAAGAGCAAATGATTATCACATGTTAATATCTTTGATATGTCATCTTATATTAATATAGTTGTTTGATAGCACTTAAACAAAATTAAGCCGCGTCATGACAAAACCAACATAATGGGTTTGCGACCAGCATGGATCTAGACCAGCCTGCGCATCCGCGCAGTCTGATCAGGATCCATGCTGTTCGCTTACCAACTCTATTACATGTAAAGAAGCTGATAGCGAACAGCATGGATCTTGATCAGACTGCGCGGATGCGCAGGCTGATCTGGATCCATGCTGGTCGCAAACCCATTATGTTGGTTTTGTCGTGACACGGCTCAAATTAAGACAAATTTATGGTGAATTTGTAATTTTTACAGTTTTTATGTAAAATAATATGTAAAAATATTAACACATAGTAACAAATATTATTTTGAAGTAATAAATTATAATAATTAATTTAAATATGACTAAATATTTTATGAATTTTAATTAAAATTATGTAAAGAAACACAAGAAATTTGTTTATTGCATATTCTAATTTTAAGATAACTTTCATCAAAATTTAAATTAAAGAAATGGGGGGTGAATTGTCTGTGTCATTTTTCCAATAATGTGGGTCGAAATGTCTGGTGGGTGAATTGTCTTTGATACCTGAAAAATATAGTGGTTTTCTACCCTATATACAACTCTGTGGTAAATTGTATCCTGACCTGTGTAATTTAAGCTTCAGCTTATTGTGAGTTTTAAAAGGGCTAGCTTTTGTCACAAAAATATTAAAAATTTAGAATGAATATTAAAATAACCATTGCAAACCAGTTCTATGAAGTAAAGGGTTAATTGATAAAATACAGTTATTTTGAAATATAATTTTCAAAAACACAACTTACCAATTGCAAGCTTTGTGTTCATGTCGTAGACTTTCCCATGCTTACGACCAGTGTGCACACGTTTGACTTTGCCGCACTTCTGACAAGCGATGTCAAGTAGACTGGCAAGCCCAAAGTTCTTACTGTTTACTGTGTTTTCCAGATATAAAGGGCTGGCACAGGCAAAACATGACTTTAAACCTTCAGATAATGTGTCAAGTTCCACAATTCTCCTTCCAGTTTTCCAGGCTTCCTCTGTTGTAAAATACTCGTATTCCACCATGTCCACATCTATCAACTTTTCCTGAACCCTAAAGTCCGATGGCTATGTATAATTGTGATCATAAGATCTTCTTTCGACTATCGGCACATGTTCTAAACATGGTGTTACCTGCTTAAGATTACGTTTATGAAATCTTCCGCATTTCTTTCGAGAGGTATTTCGTACTTCGTCTAAAGTAGCCAGAAACAAGGAAGTCAATGTAGACAGGCGCATGTTTGGGTATTATTATTTTAAAACAAAGCGCCACGGTGATGCATGTACCGTATATCGTTATTTGTTGTCGTAAAAAAAATTCAATTGATAGGAACATTTATCTCTTCAAATTTAAATGGGTATCACACCTGAATAATTAAAACATACTTGCCTGTCTAATATTATCGGTAGAATATCTTACACATTAAAAAAATGGTTTACGACATTGTTACTGAACTACCGTAATTTGTAAACGCTCCTACATCCTTAAGAGGTCCTTTGGTAATGAAAACTGATGGCTATAGTGATTACAGATTTGAAACCTATGTGAATACTGATGGCTGAAAATAACAAGAGCGATCAGTAATCACATGTGTCGCCTCATGATGGCCAATTTCATGTTGGGACAAATTTTGTGACAGAGGGACAGACAGATGGACAGTGCACAACTAGACTTGGTACTGATCATTCCTGTAAAGTTTGGATAAAATTGCACCAGTAGTTTATGAGGAGTAGTCCGGACAAGCTTTTGCGCATCTGGCAACACACAGAAAAAAACACCTTTTTATCAAAGGGCCATAACTCGGCCAAAAATCATTCAACTGGAAAACCTGTGCAATACGCACAAGGACTTGAGCTACAGATCAATCCCGTAAAGTTTCATTGAAATTGCTTTAGTGGTATAAGAGAAGTAGTCCGGACAAACTTTAAAATTAAAAATTATTAAAGGGCCATAACTCTGACAAAAATCATTGAACCAGAAAATGCTGACAATATGCACAACTAGACTTGGTACTGATCATTCCTGTAAAGTTTGAATGAAATTGCACCAGTAGTTTATGAGGAGTAGTCCGGACAAGTTTTGTGACGGACGGACGGACGGACAGACAGACGGACGGACAGACAGACGACGGAGAAGTGATCCCTATACGTCGCCACTACTCCGTAGAGGCGACACAACAAAGGGCAATAACTGAAAAACTAGAACTATCGCTAAATGTGATTAATACCCCCACAAGTCTGCTTCGGAAATGAGGATGTTACTAGTCACAGAATACCTTGTAAAAGAATTGAAACATAGAGTTATGGTTGTGGGCAATTAAAGATAATTGTGGTTCATGTATGTTGCATTTCCTTTCAATGTGGTTGGCCATTGATGAAGTTAAATTGAATTACTCTGTAATAAGTCCAGAAAGACAAAGAAAAAGAACAAAGGGCAATAACTCTATAAATACTGAAGATAGAGTTATAGTTCTTGTGCACTGCACTTCCTCTTATTGTGCTTGACCATTGTATGAAGTTGTTTTGAATTCCAACCAGTACGTTTTAAGTTATGCTCCGGACAAGGAAAAGTATCAAAGGGCAGTAACTCTGTATTTTGTCAAAATGGAGTTATGGCTCTTGTGCACTGCACTTCCTTTGAATGTCCTTGACAACTGTATGAAGTTGTACTGAATTCCAAACAGTAGTTTTCAAGTTATGCTCTGGACAAGGAAAAGTAACAAAGGGCAATAACTCTGTAATTAGTCAAGATGGAGTTATGGTTCTTATGCACTGCACTTCCTCTCAATGAGCTTGACCATTGTATGAAGTTATAATGAATTCCAACAATAAGTCTTCAAGTTATGGTCCGGACAAAAGAAAGCAATGGAAAAGTAACAAAGGGCAATAACTCTGTAATTAGTCAAGATGGAGTTATGGTTCTTGTGCACTGCACTTCCCCTTATTGTGCTTGACCATTGTATGAAGTTGTTTTGAATTCCAACCAGTAGATTTAAAGTCATGCTCTGGACAAGGAAAAGAAACAAAGGGCAGTAACTCTGTAAAAAGTCAAAATGGAGTTATGGTTCTTGTGCACTGCACTTCCTCTCAATGTGCTGGACCACTGTATGAAGTTATAATGAATTCCAACAATTAGTCTTCAAGTTATGGTCCGGACAAAAGAAAGCAATGGAAAAGTAATAAAGGGCAATAACTCTGTAATTACTTTAGATAGAGTTATGGTTCTTATGCACTGCACTTCCTCTCAATGTGCTTGACCATTGTATGTAGTTATATTGAATTCCAACCATTAGTCTTCAAGTTATGCTTCGGGCAAAAAAAAGAAGGCAATTGAAAAGGAACAAAGGGCAATAACTCTGTAATTACTTTAGATAGAGTTATGGTTCTTGTGCACTGCACTTCCCCTTATTGTGTTTGACAATTGTATGAAGTTGTTTTGAATTCCAACCAGTAGTTTTCAAGTTATGCCACGGACAAGAAAAAGTAACAAAGGGCAATAACTCTGTAATTAGTCAAGATAGAGTTATGTTTCTTACGCACTGCACTTCCTCTCAATGTGCTTGACCATTGTATGTAGTTATATTGAATTCCAACCATTAGTCTTCAAGTTATGCTCCGGACAAGGAAAATGCAACGGACAAAAAAAAAAGCAATGGAAAAGCAACAAGAGCTGTCCGTAAGACAGCGCGCTCGACTTTTTTAGTGCTTGCCTATAATACAAAACATTGACAGTTAAGGGCCATAATTCAAATAAAATCTTTGACAGAATTACCTTCTCCTGGACATGTTTGGGAATCATGATTGTAAACAAGTATTCCAACTTTCAAATTAATATCTCAAACAGTTCAGTCAAAAAGTGGACTGGTACTAAAAACTTAACCAAGATTCTAAGTCGATAAAAGGCCTTAATTTTTAAAACAAATCCTTGACAGAGTTACCTTCTCTTGCGTACAGATGGGGGTAATGATGTGAAATAGCATTAAAAGTTTCAAAGCAATATCTCAAAGGGTTAAGGCAATAAGTGGATTTTACCCATATTCAATGTATTTTCTAAGTCAAAAAGGGGCATAATTCTGTCAAAAACCTTGACAGAGTTATGTCCTCTTGTCTGTTGATGAAGGTCGTGATGGTAAACAAGTATGGTCAGTTTCAAAGCAATACCTCCAATGGTTTTGAAATAAAGTGAGGTGGTACAAAAAACTTAACCAAGCTCAATACACTTTCTAAGTCAAAAAAGGGCCATAATTCTGTCAAAAACCTTGACAGAGTTATGTACTCTTGTCTGTAGATGGAGGTTATGATGGTGAACAAGTATGGTAAGTTTCAAAGCCATACTTGTAATACTTCTGAAATAAAGTGGGGTGGTACGAAAAACTTAACCAAGGTGTGACGCCAACGCCGACGCCGACGCCGACGCCGACGCCGGGGCGAGTAGGATAGCTCCCCTTTTCATAGAAAAGTCGAGCTAACAAAGGGCAATAACTCTGTAATTACTTTAGATAGAGTTATGGTTCTTGTGCACTGCACTTCCCCTTATTGTGTTTGACAATTGTATGAAGTTGTTTTGAATTCCAACCAGTAGTTTTCAAGTTATGCCCCGGACAAGGAAAAGTAACAAAGGGCAATAACTCTGTAATTAGTCAAGATAGAGTTATGGTTCTTGTGCACTGCACTTCCTCTCAATGTGCTTGACCATTGTATGTAGTTATATTGAATTCCAACCATTAGTTTTCAAGTTATGCCCCGGACAAGGAAAATGCAACGGACGTCTGGACCGACCGACCGCCCGACCGACCACCGGGTGACTCCTATATACCCCCCCAAACTTTGTTTTTGGGGGTATAATAATGCAGGGTAGGTTATCATTCTTGTGTGCTGCATCCCTCCTCAGTAAAATCTATCCACCTATGAAGTTTCAAGTTGATACCTCAAATACTTTTTGAGAAAAAAATTGAATTGAAAAATTAAGTATGAAAAATAACAAAGGGCAATAACTCAAAAATTATAAAAGGTAGAGTTATCATTCTTGTGCACTGCACACCTCCTGAGTGAGATCTATGCACCTATGAAGTTTCATTTTGATATCTCAAAGGCTTTTTGAGTTATGCTTTGGACAAAAATTAATTTTGAAAAATAACAAAGGGCAATAACTCAAAAATTATGCATGGTAGAGTTATCATTCTTGTGCACTGCACTCCTCCTCAATGAGATCCATCCACCTATGAAGTTTCAAGTTGATACCTCAAATACTTTTTGAGATAAGCTCTGGACAAAATAGTATGAAAAAGAACAAAGGGCAATAACTCAAAAATTGTATAGGGAAGAGTTATCATTCTTGTGCACAACATTCCTCCTCAATAAGATCTATCCACCTATGACATTTCATGTTGATATGTCAAACACTTTTTTTGAGTTATGCTCCACTCAGGTGAAAAATTAAGTATGAAAAATAACAGAGGGCAATAACTCAAAAATTATGAAAGGTAGAGTTATCATTCTTGTGCACTGCACACCTCCTGAGTGAGATCTATGCACCTATGAAGTTTCATGTTGATATCTCATAGGCTTTTGGAGTTATGCTCTGGACAAAAATCAATTTTGAAAAATAACAAAGGGCAATAACTCAAAAATTTATGCAGGGTAGAGTTATCGTTCTTGTGCACTGCACTCCTCCTCAATGAGGTCTATCCACCTATGAAGTTTCAAGTTGATAACTCAAATACTTTTAGAGATATGCTCCGGACAAAAATGTCGGACGAAAGGACGGACGGAAGGTCGGACGGACGGAGACTATTTCTATATCCCCCGCCGCCTTTTCGGCGGGGGATAATAAGGAAGTAACAGTAAAAAATAATATTTTTAAGGAAAACTCTAAGTTCAAGGGGAGATAAATCTCAAAATATTGGTGCTAGAGTTATGAACCTCGTCACATAAGATGTGGTTGATGATAAGGAACATATATTTGAAGTATGAAGTTGATCCCTTCAGATATAAAGAAGTAACATTAAAAATAATATTTTTTAAGG